AAGTCATAAACACTCAGTTAAACAAATACAAAAAAATATTCTAACAGGTGCAGTGGTAAAATATTACAAATACTTACGTTTTTTGAAATATTGTATTCTCCCGTTTGTTTTCGCATCAACGCGTACCATACATTTCTTTTTACATATTCCACAGTGAATATTCCAAGGCCACACAATAGGTTTTTGTCTACTTTTTATAATACGCTGTTTGGATGAATCTTGAAGTGTGCTTCCTTGAAATTTCTCAAGTAGTTCTATGGTTCAAATGGAATATATACTTGGGTGAATAAAACGATAGTGGCTGCTTTTACATAGTTAGATTAATTGTCAGATTTCAACAGCCAAAATATATCAATATAAGAAATCTAAGCAACATTAAATACCTTTCTTAAATGCGTCCTCGTCATCAATTATTGCTACCTCTGGAACTATTTTTGAGGTTTCTGGACGTGAAGATGAAGAGCCAACAACTTCTATGTTTATAATGGGAACGTTCTTGGAAAATGATGTAATCACAGGATATACTGTAACTGTAAAAATGAAAAAGTAGGCCTACCGTTATATTGTAATATTCAAATTTTTCCAAACAAAGTAGAAATTTCAAGGAAACTACAATTGAGGAAATGAAAAATTATATTGAAATTTTGAATGCTTTACTGCACATAGTTTTAAGAGGCTTTATGTTTTCAACGCATCGAAGGTACCAGAGTAGGCAGAGACGTTAAACATAAAGCTGCAGTGTCAAGGAGAATTAACATCTGGGAAGATAAACAAAACTTTGGCAATTCGTTTATTTTTTGTTACTTTATTTAGAATAAATTTTTTATAAAACTTGTAGAATTGGTTTGCAAAATAAACTTTCAAATATATTTTTAGAACATTGTATAGTTCCCAGGCAGAGATACATTGTTCCCAATGATTGTGTACATTGGGCCAAACCTCCACCTCTACAAACCTCCACCTTTCTCAAACGTAACTATAGTGGCCCTATAGTAACTGTACCAGCCTGTACCAGAACTTACTTTGTAATTTGTCATTCCCATTCAGAATTGCTGGCAATTCTAAAGTTACATGAAAATCTGTATTAATTGCATACAGAACTGTTCCATTGCCTCCTTTGTGTTCTCTGCTTAGCCGCATTTCAAAGTTACTACCAAAGCCGATATCTTGGCAAATAACTTGTATTCCTCCCTGGGAACTGCAAGAAAGATATACAAATCGATTCACATAAGCTTTGCTGAAATCTATATCATGAAAGTGTCTAGGAATGGCTGTAATTTGTAATGGCATGTACTGATTTTCTCAAAATTAAACACAAAAATAAATGTAATTATAGGGAGATAAAAGAATAAATATATACCAACACAAAATTGGCCAGTGTCGACCTGTCTGTTTATTTCACAGTATAGGTCATGATAGGGCAAACTGGCAGCCGACACATGGATGTAGTTAATGTACATAAAATAAAATATGATTCAATAGGCCACAAAACACACTGGTCCCTGGCCGTATGGGCCATGCCTTGGCAACCATCTTGAACAACCTATATACATAGTCTACATGTGTTTATTAAAGAGTCATTGTCAACCACAAGGGCCCCACAATGCATTGCACGCCCAAACCTGCTCTGCTTGGCAGCAATTTTAATGGTGGAGTAATAGATGTTTTTGTTTTCAATCCATCATATATTTCAACCATCCTATTGTTATACTTGCTCATTTTAACTTATTTGTACTAAAAATGCACCAAAGAAATGTTTATAATCGTCATGTAAATTGTTCTATTTATCACTTCCCAAGATTAGAGCAAACAAATCATTGTGGTTGACAATGACAAGCCAGAATAAGAAAATATAAAAAATTCACCCTAATAAAAAAAATAATTACTGTTATTTTAGTCATATTTAAGCCTATTTAAGGCTATTTAAGCCCAAACCCTTCGGACAGGACACACAAGCCACAGAAAGGCCTAGAAAGCATGCATATTTTATATATTCAAATTTTATTTAAATCAACAAATTGAAATTCACGTACCTGACAATGCTTTTCAGCTTCGTTAAACTTTTAATTCCCGTTGGAATTCTGGCCCGATACCTCTCTTTTCGAACATAATCAAGTTTGGTCTTTCCCTTTTGATAGAAGATCGCGATGCATTCGATAATGCTTTCAGGCCTTTCAGTTTGTACTTCTCGCGGCAAAACCGCCGCCATATTTTCCAAAGCAAATAATAAATATACCGGAAGTGGAGTAGCAATCCGGAAGTGAGAATGTGCCAAGTCGTCGAAATAGCCCGAAATAATTATTAAGGCGATAAAGGCCAAATAAGTTGCTCTCTTGTTGGCTCTTGTTGGCCCTTGTTCTGTTTTGAGGCCTTTTGGGGACGATTTTTTAAAGTTAGCTTCAATGCTGGTGCACGTAATCACGTTACTTGGTAAAGTAATCACGAAATCCGCCGTTTAAGTTGGCCTTTTCCCGACTCTCGCCAACATTTAAATTCACGATTTCACGCACCAAAAATAACTTAATCACGTGATAACGCTTGAAATAACAGCTAAACACGCGTCACGTAAAAATCATGGGGGGCCCCTACAATTAAAATTTCGAAAAAGATGTATTATGAGGAACAACTAATAAAGTATAAACACAGCACAAAAATGGTGTGGAAAACTCTAAATTAAATTCTTAACAAAAAAGCAAAAAATAAAGAATTACCTAGAACATTTTTTGATACTAGCACTTCTAATACAATTAAAAATCCAGTAACTATAGCTAATAAATTTAATGAATATTTTACCAATATTGGACCAAATTTGGCCAGGAATATAAAAAACAGCTCAGAAACAAATTTTAAGAAATATCTTACTGGTAACTACAAAAATAGCATGTTTCTAGCACCAATCACTGAATTAGAACTAGAAACTGTACTTAAAAACATGGATTCTAACAAAAGTCCAGGATATGCCAAACCATTAACACACATATTTAATTTAACATTCGAGAATGGGATTATTCCTGAAAAATTGAAGCTTGCAATAGTAACACTAATCTTCAAAGCAAATGAAAATAATAAATTTGAAAATTACAGACCAATTTCAGTTCTCTCTTGCTTTTCTAAATTACTTGAAAAACTCATGTACAACAGGTTAATTAACTTCATTGATAAAAATCAAATTTTATCAAAACACCAATATGGATTCAGGAGAAGTAGATCGACAGAATTTGCCATTATTGAACTTGTGGACAGGGTCTTAGCTAGAGGGCCGTGTTATCGCGGCCAAAAGTGGCAAAACACGGCTAGATAAAATGAACGCGGCTTCATTATTTATATAAGGCCGTGTAGGTTCATAAAATAAGGTGATGCTACAGTACTTACAACACACAGAATTTCTTCCAATTTACGAAATGTGATCCGTGATGTTTTAATGTTTTGATGGATAATGGGAACTGTATGGTGTTAAAATGGTTTTAAATGTCCCCAAGAGTTGCTGAAATAACTTAATATTCTAATGTCACTGCGCAGTATGAGCGTATGCTCGTCTTGAATTTGGTTGCAAAGCATAGAACAGCCACAGGCATTGTCTGTTGTTGGCGAGTATAACTAGAACCGTGAATTTAGCTACTCAAAGTAATTGACATGTGCACACCCTGGTCATTAGAAACACGCCCAAGATCTCAAATCCTAGCTAAGACCCTGCTTGTGGATAAAATTACAAAAGGAATAGATCAAGGACAATATACACTCGGTATCTTCCTTGATCTATCAAAAGCATTCGATACAATTAATCACAGGATTCTGATTGAAAAACTGGAGCATTATGGAATAAGAGGAATCTGTTTAAAATGGTTTAAAAATTACTTAGAGAATAGAAAACAAACTAAAATAGAATAGAATAGAAACTTTATTTTACGAGGGAAAACGCATTAACCGTAAAAGTTATCTAACATACAGCCCTCGCACTATTTTGATATTTACAGGCATAAAAAGTATTAAGGATTACGACTATTTACATTTGAGAAAAAAATAATTAGTAACGAATACAATTACAATTTAGTAAATATTTACAATTTATACAAAATAGATCTTCGATATGGTTAGTAAGGGTAAGCTTGTTAAGAAAGATTTTACGAATTTTTTGTTTGGCGTTAGTATATGAAGAGCAAGATGGCGAAGCAGCAAGTTGCTTACAATCGCTATCTAAGCAATTAAAAAGAATGGAAGCACTGTACAGAAATGTTCGTTTACCAGAGTCAGTACGCGGGAAGGGGGGTAGAAGGTCATATGCGCAAGCTCTAGTCAAGTACAATACAATAAAATCTGATGAAATGATAATTACAAGTGGAGTGCCTCAAGGATCAATACTCGGACCAATACTATTTTTGCTGTATATAAATGATATACAAAATTGCAGTAGAATAGTTTCAATTATACTTTTTGCAGATGACACGAATATATTTTACAGTCATACTTGTCTTAAAAAATTGAATGAAATTATGCAAACTGAAATAAATAAAATATCTGACTGGTTAAATACAAATATACTGTCTTTAAACACCACAAAAACTAAATTTATGTTATTTAGGTCATCCAAGAGGAAACAAAAACATAATATAACAATATTTATAAACAACGAAAAAATTAAGCAGGTTAAAAGTACAACATTCCTAGGTGTTGTTATTGATGAGTGCCTAACATGGAAGGATCATATTGACTTAATTTCTAAGAAAATAATGAAAGCCTCGAGCATCATTTCTAGAATACGTCACTTTACCAACTTAAATGCTTTGAAGTTAATTTATTATGCATTAGTCTATCCATATCTAATTTATGGCAATTTAATTTGGGGTAGTACCTATAAAACGAGAATACAGAAACTAATGAACATACAAAAGAAAATTATCCGATTAATGACATTCAAATCATACTCTGAACATTGTGAAACAATTTTTAAAAACTTAAGAATACTAAATATTTATCAAGTCAACGATTTTTTAATAAGTTTATTTATGTTTCGATATTTCAACTTAAAAAATCTACCTGAAATATTTATGAACTATTTCAAAACTAAGAAGGTTCATCACTACAATACAAGAAAAATATCTCAGCTTCATAAATCTTATAATAGAACTATGTAAAACATACTCTTTCGAACAAAGGAGTTGATATTTGGAATGGTTTAGAAAAAAAATACAAGCATATTAGATCACCTATCACTTTTAAAAGACAAATTAAAAAACACTTCTTACAGATTTAAAACTACACAAGAAGTTGTTTTTTTTTTACTGCCAATTGTTTTTACTGTCATGTAGACACGATGCTATATAAAATTATAAAATTTTATAGCAAATATAAAAAATTAGAATTAAACTTGTACATATTTTTAGTATAATTAGTATAATACCTTAATTTTGTTTCAAGTTTTGAACTGCCAAAAACTTTATATATTAATTTAATTAAATAAACTAGGGGCCTTAATAAAAAGCCTGTTCGGGTTTCTAGTAGGCTCCTAGCCCTATAATAGAAGTAAATAAAAAAAAACAATGTAAATACTTAATTCTGTGGGCGAATTAAAAATAAAAAAAAATTAAAGTTTTCAGAACAATGATTATCATTAATGAATCTAAATTGGAAGCTTTTCAGCCAATGTACAGTAACTATAAATAAAATATAATTGATGAACTAATTATTTTAAGCAAAGTTTTCTATTTGTAATCTTGGATCTGTAATGAATTATAGCCGAAACTTTGTTTACATAATCCATATATTTCTTCGACAAACACACTTACAAATATACAAACTTACAAACACATCGAAAAACGTTCGTTCTCAAAAACAATGTGCTCAGTCATGTGACTGGCCCGAGTTTAGGTTCAGATCGTCGCCTGCGTGCAGGCCTCGTAGTAATGTTATTTATACTCCCCGGGCTGGTTACTTAATGTAAACAGAACTAATTAACGAATACAACAATTTTAATTAAAGTAACTTATTCTTCAAGAGTTCTCCTCTTAAAAGTTCATTGGCAATCGCTGCTGCACGTCGAGGTCGATCGCGGTTTTCTCTTGAATCTTCCACAACCGTCAATTTCTCATTTTGGTTCCGTTTGATCTCGTCTACGTTGGAATCTTGACTAACTTCGAGAGGAACTAGATGTTGAATAGACCTTCTTAACACGTCCGATTTTCCGTTCTCGTTACTAACCCTGACCTTGGCCGCACGAACCATTCCATCGCCTGATATGAGTTCCTCAATCTTTCCGAGTCGCCAGAAATTCCTGTTCGTTTTTTCATTAACTATAACGATATCGCCTTTCTTAAGCTGTTCCGTTTTTTGACGTTTCCCGTTCACTTGTGCATTCTCGCGTAAATTCCTTAAATATTCCTTTCGCCAACGCGTTGTAAACTGACACAAGATCTGCTTGTGACGCTTGGCTCTTTTGGTTAACGATGCGTTTGTGCTAACGATCTCGTAATGTTGGCTGTTTGGTCTTGAACAAATATGTCGTCCGTTAATTAATTGCGACGGTGAGAGCGCATAGGAAACCGATTCTTCGTCGTCGTAAATGTAAGTTATTGGCCGTGCGTTGATTATTCCTTCAATTTCTATAAGCACAGTTAACAGTTCGTCATAATCGAGAGTCGTTCGCCCCAGGATTTTCTTGAGAACAGTCTTAACACTTCGCACGAGTCGTTCCCAAAAACCACCCCACCAAGGAGCTCTTTCCACGATATATTGCCATGTCACGCCTCGACCTACGAGAAAGTCCTGAACTTCCTTGGATCTACAAATCCGTTCCACGTCCTTGGACGCAGATTTGAACGTCGTCGCGTTGTTGGATATCAAAACCGAAGGTAAACCCCGTCGGCTCACGAAACGTCGAAAACTCAGCAGGAATGCTTGAGTACTAAGAGCTCGAGTCAATTCAAGGTGTACTGCCCGACTTGCGGCACATGTAAATAAACAGACATAAACCTTGGAGGATGAAGTCCCTTTCATTGCGTTCTTTTCGGTAATATACAACGGACCCAAAAAATCTAATCCAGTGTTCGCGAATGATGGAGCGTCATCGACTCTGATTTTGGGTAAATCTGGCGTTGGTTGTGGACTGAACGGTCTTGCCTGGTGCCTATGACATACTACGCATTCTCTTAGAATTTGTTTCACGGTTTCTCGTCCTCGCAACACCCAGAACCTTTCGCGCAACGTTGATAACGTGTGATTGATACCACTGTGCTTAACATCTTCGTGAACCCTTCGAATTGTCAATTTTGTGAAATAGTGTTTGGATGGGAGAAGTATCGGTCGTTTCTCTGATTCGAGGAAAGGTGCATTGTTCAATCTACCGTTACATTTTAGCATATCATCTTGATCGACATACAGTCCTAAGTTCCGAACATTCGGCGGGGACGATGCTTTCGACTTACTTCGCAAGTATTTCAATTCTTCCGCGAAGCTCGATTCTTGAACACTCCGGATCCACATATTTTCAGCTCTTAAAATTTCGGCCGCAGAAAGGTTTGAACCGTGAGCAATTAGCTGTTCGTTGGTTCCTTTAACTCTGCTTTTCAAAAGGGAGATAAATCGATTGACGTATGCGGTTACTCGCAGAAGCTTCAATTTATCACTGAATCGATCACAATCAATCACGGAGGCCACGTCTGGGATTTGAGAACTAACAGCTCCAACCAACACACGCGTGACAGTTTTTGGTTGTTTGACGACCTTATCCTCTGCTGCCTTATCGATTTCTTCCTGATACTCCAGCCTAGTCCCTGGCCTTCCAAGCGCGGGCGAGTTACAGGCTGTCGTGAACTTGCGGGCTGTCAGTTCCGCAAAATATCCGAACTTGGTCGCGCTGGAAGGCCTAGCAAAATTCGCAATAATCAACATGGCGGTGTACTTTCGTGAATTGGATTAATATTCACTATTGTATTAAAATGTAACAAAATGCTTTTAAAACACGTTGCCGTTGCCGTAAGTTGCCGGAAAGTATGGGTAATACCTTCA